AACGCGCTGTGCATGCACCCTATCCCCAACGCGCTGTGCATGCAGCCTATCCCCAACGCGCTGTGCATGCAGCCTATCCCCAACGCGCTGTGCATGCAGCCTATCCCCAACGCGCTGTGCATGCAGCCTATCCCCAACGCGCTGTGCATGCAGCCTATCCCCAACGCGCTGTGCATGCAGCCTATCCCCAACGCGCTGTGCATGCAGCCTATCCCCAACGCGCTGTGCATGCAGCCTATCCCCAACGCGCTGTGCATGCACCCTATCCCCAACGCGCTGTGCATGCAGCCTATCCCCAACGCGCTGTGCATGCAGCCTATCCCCAACGCGCTGTGCATGCAGCCTATCCCCAACGCGCTGTGCATGCACCCTATCCCCAACGCGCTGTGCATGCACCCTATCCCCAACGCGCTGTGCATGCACCCTATCCCCAACGCGCTGTGCATGCAGCCTATCCCCAACGCGCTGTGCATGCACCCTATCCCCAACGCGCTGTGCATGCACCCTATCCCCAACGCGCTGTGCATGCACCCTATCCCCAACGCGCTGTGCATGCACCCTATCCCCAACGCACTGTGCATGCACCCTATCCCCAACGCGCTGTGCATGCACCCTATCCCCAACGCGCTGTGCATGCACCCTATCCCCAACGCGCTGTGCATGCAGCCTATCCCCAACGCGCTGTGCATGCAGCCTATCCCCAACGCGCTGTGCATGCACCCTATCCCCAACGCGCTGTGCATGCAGCCTATCCCCAACGCGCTGTGCATGCAGCCTATCCCCAACGCGCTGTGCATGCAGCCTATCCCCAACGCGCTGTGCATGCACCCTATCCCCAACGCGCTGTGCATGCAGCCTATCCCCAACGCGCTGTGCATGCAGCCTATCCCCAACGCGCTGTGCATGCAGCCTATCCCCAACGCGCTGTGCATGCAGCCTATCCCCAACGCGCTGTGCATGCAGCCTATCCCCAACGCGCTGTGCATGCAGCCTATCCCCAACGCGCTGTGCATGCACCCTATCCCCAACGCGCTGTGCATGCACCCTATCCCCAACGCGCTGTGCATGCAGCCTATCCCCAACGCGCTGTGCATGCAGCCTATCCCCAACGCGCTGTGCATGCACCCTATCCCCAACGCGCTGTGCATGCAGCCTATCCCCAACGCGCTGTGCATGCACCCTATCCCCAACGCGCTGTGCATGCAGCCTATCCCCAACGCGCTGTGCATGCACCCTATCCCCAACGCGCTGTGCATGCAGCCTATCCCCAACGCGCTGTGCATGCAGCCTATCCCCAACGCGCTGTGCATGCAGCCTATCCCCAACGCGCTGTGCATGCACCCTATCCCCAACGCGCTGTGCATGCAGCCTATCCCCAACGCGCTGTGCATGCACCCTATCCCCAACGCGCTGTGCATGCAGCCTATCCCCAACGCGCTGTGCATGCAGCCTATCCCCAACGCGCTGTGCATGCACCCTATCCCCAACGCGCTGTGCATGCACCCTATCCCCAACGCGCTGTGCATGCACCCTATCCCCAACGCGCTGTGCATGCACCCTATCCCCAACGCGCTGTGCATGCAGCCTATCCCCAACGCGCTGTGCATGCAGCCTATCCCCAACGCGCTGTGCATGCAGCCTATCCCCAACGCGCTGTGCATGCACCCTATCCCCAACGCGCTGTGCATGCAGCCTATCCCCAACGCGCTGTGCATGCAGCCTATCCCCAACGCGCTGTGCATGCACCCTATCCCCAACGCGCTGTGCATGCACCCTATCCCCAACGCGCTGTGCATGCAGCCTATCCCCAACGCGCTGTGCATGCAGCCTATCCCCAACGCGCTGTGCATGCACCCTATCCCCAACGCGCTGTGCATGCACCCTATCCCCAACGCGCTGTGCATGCAGCCTATCCCCAACGCGCTGTGCATGCAGCCTATCCCCAACGCGCTGTGCATGCAGCCTATCCCCAACGCGCTGTGCATGCAGCCTATCCCCAACGCGCTGTGCATGCAGCCTATCCCCAACGCGCTGTGCATGCAGCCTATCCCCAACGCGCTGTGCATGCACCCTATCCCCAACGCGCTGTGCATGCACCCTATCCCCAACGCGCTGTGCATGCACCCTATCCCCAACGCGCTGTGCATGCACCCTATCCCCAACGCGCTGTGCATGCACCCTATCCCCAACGCGCTGTGCATGCACCCTATCCCCAACGCGCTGTGCATGCACCCTATCCCCAACGCGCTGTGCATGCACCCTATCCCCAACGCGCTGTGCATGCAGCCTATCCCCAACGCGCTGTGCATGCAGCCTATCCCCAACGCGCTGTGCATGCAGCCTATCCCCAACGCGCTGTGCATGCAGCCTATCCCCAACGCGCTGTGCATGCAGCCTATCCCCAACGCGCTGTGCATGCAGCCTATCCCCAACGCGCTGTGCATGCAGCCTATCCCCAACGCGCTGTGCATGCAGCCTATCCCCAACGCGCTGTGCATGCAGCCTATCCCCAACGCGCTGTGCATGCAGCCTATCCCCAACGCGCTGTGCATGCAGCCTATCCCCAACGCGCTGTGCATGCACCCTATCCCCAACGCGCTGTGCATGCACCCTATCCCCAACGCGCTGTGCATGCACCCTATCCCCAACGCGCTGTGCATGCAGCCTATCCCCAACGCGCTGTGCATGCAGCCTATCCCCAACGCGCTGTGCATGCACCCTATCCCCAACGCGCTGTGCATGCAGCCTATCCCCAACGCGCTGTGCATGCACCCTATCCCCAACGCGCTGTGCATGCACCCTATCCCCAACGCGCTGTGCATGCACCCTATCCCCAACGCGCTGTGCATGCACCCTATCCCCAACGCGCTGTGCATGCAGCCTATCCCCAACGCGCTGTGCATGCAGCCTATCCCCAACGCGCTGTGCATGCACCCTATCCCCAACGCGCTGTGCATGCAGCCTATCCCCAACGCGCTGTGCATGCACCCTATCCCCAACGCGCTGTGCATGCAGCCTATCCCCAACGCGCTGTGCATGCACCCTATCCCCAACGCGCTGTGCATGCACCCTATCCCCAACGCGCTGTGCATGCACCCTATCCCCAACGCGCTGTGCATGCAGCCTATCCCCAACGCGCTGTGCATGCAGCCTATCCCCAACGCGCTGTGCATGCAGCCTATCCCCAACGCGCTGTGGGAACCCCTTGGGCGGCCAACCCCTCGGCCGGGCAGCCCTGGCCCTCGGGCGTACACGAGCTCTCGGTCCCGGCAGGGGGTACGAGCCATGCACTCAAGTCAGGTCAGCCCAGCCAGCAGCTGCTCAACAACCGACCCTGCCCGCCCGCCCCCCTGAACCCGGGGTGGAGAGCCCGCCCCACATCCCAGTCACATGGGGTGGTGAGCCCGCCCCACATCCCAGTCACATGGGGTGGTGAGCCCGCCCCACATCCCAGTCACATGGGGTGGTGAGCCCGCCCCACATCCCAGTCACATGGGGTGGTGAGCCCGCCCCACATCCCAGTCACATGGGGTGGTGAGCCCGCCCCACATCCCAGTCACATGGGGTGGTGAGCCCGCCCCACATCCCAGTCACATGGGGTGGTGAGCCCGCCCCACATCCCAGTCACATGGGGTGGTGAGCCCGCCCCACATCCCAGTCACATGGGGTGGTGAGCCCGCCCCACATCCCAGTCACATGGGGTGGTGAGCCCGCCCCACATCCCAGTCACATGGGGTGGTGAGCCCGCCCCACATCCCAGTCACATGGGGTGGTGAGCCCGCCCCACATCCCAGTCACATGGGGTGGTGAGCCCGCCCCACATCCCAGTCACATGGGGTGGTGAGCCCGCCCCACATCCCAGTCACATGGGGTGGTGAGCCCGCCCCACATCCCAGTCACATGGGGTGGAGAGCCCGCCCTGTAGTGCCTTGTCACCACCCCCCGTCCCACGCTGCCTGCGCACCCGCGTCCTTAGTCGCGGAAGACGCGTCTAGCGTCTTAGACGCGTCCGTCTAGACGCAGCGTCTAAGACGCTAGACGCTAGATGAGTCAGATAAGACGCAGTATTAGACGAAGGCCCGGGCAGGCTAAAAAAAAGTTGGGCAGACCAAAAAAAAACTATGGGGCATGGGCAGGGTGGGGGACCTGCATGTATGTCATAATTGGGTTAATTTTCCCCCGTACCATAACCTTTTCACCCTCCCGCTTCCCCACTCTCTGCCTCCCCTACCCTTCCCTTCCCATCCCTTCAACCCCTTTCCCCTTAGCATTAGGCGGCACAGCAGGTCCAAGAGCCGTGATGTGGACAACAGTAGCAGCAGCAGCAGCAGCAGCAGACATAGGGGCGCCAGGAGTGGCGGGGGCGAATGGGGTTAATGGGGTGAATTTCCCCCCGTACCATAACTTTTTCACAATGGCGAATTTCAATTTCGCGCGCGCGGATTTTTTTTTTGGCTGCCCGAGAAAATTAGCCCAAGCGTCTAGCGTCTAAATGTGCTTCTTGCGTCTAGCGTCTAGACGCTAGACGCGAGACGGGTCGAGCGTCTTCCGCAACTACGCCCACGTCCGTCCCAACCCCTCACCTGGACCATCCCTTGTCTCACCGTGTCGGCATCACCTCACCACACTCCCCATACGCTACGCCACTCACCTCAGCTGCTCCGAGCACTCATTGTACCTGTGCTGTGCAGGCCTGTACCGTGCACACATGACCCTGCTGAACCGTGCTGTACCGTTCTGTGCACACTTGATCATGCAGTACCGTGCACACATAATCGGGTTCTACTGTCCTTTTCGTTTAATGACAAGAGAAGAACGCGGAGAGAGGGAGATGATCGCAAGTAGAATGGTTCAGGCAACCTTTGAAATCATCCTTCACTAAAAGTGAAGGTGGATGAGCCAAGGAGAAGGATGGCAGACGACCAGCCTACGCGGCAACAATGAGTGTGCAGGCAGGCAGCAGCAGGAAAGGAGAGTGGTGGGGTGGGTGAGGGACTGACTTGAGTTGAAGGCTGGAGCAGGGGTGGGTGAGAACGGCCACGATGGCGGGCGATGCATGCTTGGGTGTGGGTGGGTCCATGAACGCGTGGTCCCTCCATGATGGCTGCCCTGCATGCCATGTCGTGCCATGCCATGCCATGCCATGCCGTGCCGTGCCATGCCATACCATCCCGTCCCATGCCATGCTATGCCATGCCATGCCATGCCATGCCATGCCGTGCCATGCCATGCCGTGCCATGCCGTGCCATGCCATGCCATGCCATGCCATGCCATGCCATGCCGTGCCATGCCATGTCATACTATGCCATAACATACCATGCCGCTCATGCAATACCAGTGTACACCAAGCCACGCCGTATCAACCCATGCCAGCCCATAGCATTGCATTCCATATCATGCCATGCCGCATCGCACAGCAGCACGTGCAAGGAGAGTGGAGTGAGCAACCATGATGCACTGCCAAAGAGCACAAGGCACATCACATGCGCTGTTCCTGTGATACCTTACCTGCTCGGCCTCAGCCACTACCTGAGAGATTCTGGCTCCCACACGATGGCTGCCCTCAGTGGCCTAGTCACCTGGCTGCTGTAGCGTTAGAACGGCAACGCAAATCCGCTATATTAGGCAAACAAACGAGAGAACGAACTAAACAGTGAGTGCCTAGCCTATTTGAATCCCTACCCCGTGCCGCGCAGTTTCCCGTAACTCACATCGGACTCCGCCTGCTAGGCTTCAGGATTGGCCCTTCAGATTGCCCAGGGCTCGCTCTTGAATTTGTCCCACCCTGCGCCTCACAAGTCCCTGGGTCACCACTTTGTGTCACTCCCCACGCACCAAACTCACCTTCTACAGTACTTCGAATAACCCAACTACACCTACACTAGCAAGTAACTGAATCTATTGCAAATAACAATACATTCTGTGCCATGCGTCAAATTGCATGGCATCATGGCAGGGGGCCACAACCCATGGCATCATGGCCGGAAGCACACAGTGCACCACCAAGCATGGTACGGCATTAGTGCCTACCTAGTGTGGCACATGGCACGATATGGGATGGCACGGACCAGGGCGACGGACCAGGGGGGGGACGGACCAGGGGGGGGACGGACCAGGGGGGGGGACGGACCAGGGGGGGGACGGACCAGGGGGGGGGGAACGGACCAAGGGGGGGGGGAGGGGGGCGGACCAGGGGGGGGGGGGGGGGGGGGGGGACGAATCAGGGGGGATGTCGGAACTGAGGCTGCTGGTGGCGGTCACCACTCTGGACGCATTCGGCATCACCACAGCGCTGCACCACGGCGCCGCGCCACGTGCAGATAAATTTGTTTTGAGACGGCTCAAACCAGACGTGATGTACCAAGGGGCACGTTCCGAGACGAGTCAATGAAACCAGGGGCAAGGAGGACGCACCACAGAGCATCACCACAGCACACGTACCAAGGGACACGTCGGAGCTGAGGCTGCTGGTGACGGCCACCACTCTGGACGCGTTGGGCATCACCACGGCACCCCTTGGCCCCCCCCGCTGCCACACCACCGCGTACCCACACGCCCCCGCCCCCTCCTCCGCCACCCCCGGTGGCGCTGCCTGCCTTTCCCCCTCCCCCTCCCCCGCACCACTGCCCGCCTCCCCTGCTTCTGCTTCTGCTTCTGCTTCTGCTGCTGGTGGCGCCACCACCGCGGCATCGCAGGTGTCGTGATCCGCTGAGTGGCGCGGGGAGGTGGGGAGGGGAGAAGCGAAGGAAGAAGAGAGGGGAGGTGGGGAGGGGAGAAGCGAAGGAAGAAGAGAGGGGAGGTGGGGAGGGGAGAAGCGAAGGAAGAAGAGAGGGGAGGTGGGGAGGGGAGAAGCGAAGGAAGAAGAGAGGGGAGGTGGGGAGGGGAGAAGCGAAGGAAGAAGAGAGGGGAGGTGGGGAGGGGAGAGAAGCGAAGGAAGAGGAGAGGGGAGGTGGGGAGGGGAGAAGCGAAGGAAGAAGAGAGGGGAGGTGGGGAGGGGAGAAGCGAAGGAAGAAGAGAGGGGAGGTGGGGAGGGGAGAAGCGAAGGAAGAAGAGAGGGGAGGTGGGGAGCGGAGAAGCGAAGGAAGAAGAGAGGGGAGGTGGGGAGGGGAGAAGCGAAGGAAGAAGAGAGGGGAGGTGGGGAGGGGAGAAGCGAAGGAAGAAGAGAGGGGAGGTGGGGAGGGGAGAAGCGAAGGAAGAAGCGAAGGAAGAAGCGAAGGAAGAAGCGAAGGAAGAAGCGAAGGAAAAAGCGAAGGAAGAAGCGAAGGAAGAAGCGAAGGAAGAAGGGAAGGAAGAAGCGAAGGAAGAAGCGAAGGAAGAAGGGAGGGTGGAGTATGAAGTGGGTTCCATTGGAGCTGTGGAGGCTGCTTGTCACAGCACCCCGCCCCCCCCCCCCCGCACCCCCCTGAGGGGGGGGCCCTCCTACTACAGCGGCGTCGCAGGTGTCGTGATCCGCTGAGTGGCGAGGGGTGGTGGAGAGGGGAGAAGCGAGAGGAGGGGGAGGGTGGAGTTGAAGAGGGTGACATGGGAGGTGAGGAGGCTGCTTGTCACGCCACGGCACGGCACGGCACGGCACCCCTCGCCCACCTCCGCCCCCCGCCCCCGCTACCACAGCGGCATTGCAGGTGCCGTGGTCCGCTCAGCGGGACGGGGGAGAGGGGAAGGGGGAGGGGAGACGGGAAAGGGAGAGGGGAGAGGGGAGAGAGGAGAGAGTGGAGAGGGGAGAGGGGAGAGTGGAGAGGGGAGCGAGGAGAGGGGAGAGGGGAGACGGGAGAGGGGAGAGGGACGAGGGGAGGGGGGAAAGGGACGAGGGGAGGGGGGAGAGGGGATGGGGGAGAGGGGCGATGGGAGAGGTGAGTTTGAAGTGGGGCGAAGGTAGAGGGGAGAGGGGAGGAGAGAGGAGAGAAAGGAGAGGGGAGAGGAGAGAGGGGCGTGCAGGGGGGGATGGGAGAGGGGAAAGAGGAGATGGAGAGGGAGAGGGAGAGGGGAGAGTTGAGAGGGGAGGGAGAGGGTACTGCCAAATTAGGAGGCTGGGTAGTCTATAATGTTGGTGGTGATGCGTGGACTGTCGCCGCCTGCTCCCCTCACCCATCTCTGCCTGGACATGACAACTCAAAGTCATCATTCAAGGGTTCAGCCCGCTCAGGAGAAGAGAGGTCACGATGGGTGGAGAGGCAAAAGGGGGGGCTTACGAGGGGCGGAGAGGCTCACGAGGGGCGGAGAGGCTCACGAGGGGCGGAGAGGCTCACGAGGGGCGGAGAGGCTCACGAGGGGCGGAGAGGCTCACGAGGGGCGGAGAGGCTCACGAGGGGCGGAGAGGCTCACGAGGGGCGGAGAGGCTCACGAGGGGCGGAGAGGCTCACGAGTGGCGGAGAGGCTCACGAGGGGCGGAGAGGCTCACGAGGGGCGGAGAGGCTCACGAGGGGCGCGCGTGAAGAGGCAGCCGACGGCGCAGCCCTGCACGCGCCTGTTCTCCCCCGCCGCCACCACCACGGGCTGGCGCTGCCAGTCGCGCTGCTCGCTCCCCGCGCCCGTGGGGTCCACCTCCGCCAGCCACGCCGCGCACTGCCGCCCGCGCGGGGGCGGCTGCGCGTCGCCGCGCCAGAGCGAGGGGAGGTCGGGGAGCGGGTCGTCGGTGACAAACTCGATGGAGATGCCGCCGAAGAGGTAGAAGAGGATGTTCAGCGCCAGCAGCGCGCACAGCACCGCCGCCAGCGCCAGCACCTGGCGGCTGAAGCGGTTGGTCCCCACGGCGAGCGCGAGGCGGCGCTGCAGCAGCGGCAGCAGCTTGCTTCCGCGCAGATGGCGGCCGCCCACCCGCATGAGCCCGCCGGGAAAGAGCATCCGTGCTGCGAGCGGCGACGACCCGCTGGCGGCGTGACTCACGAACTGCGACTCTGCGGCTCGATTGAGTGTGGCTGGCTAGGGCGTGATTCGCTAGAGTGTGACTCGATTGAACGCGTCTCGCAAGAATACGAAACTTGACGACTGCTTTTGGGTTCGACTTGGAGGTGGCTGTACAGGTGGAAACGGGGGAGTTCGAGTCGAGGGTGTGGAAGAAAACACAGGCTGCGCTCTTGTGGCATTAAAACCCGCGCCTAGAATGGCAATTATTGATAAAAGCTGAACTTGAAATTAGGTTAGCGAACGGTGACGAGTGGTGACGGGGAAGTACAAAGGGGAAACGGAGGAAGGGAGAGGGAGGGACGGGAGAGGATTTACGATCCCTTCACCATGATGTCCCCTTTCACTGCTTCAACTCCCACACACTTCACGTTTACTGCTTCATCTTCAACCACGATTGTTGCTGCAAAAGTGTTGACACCAACTCCATCTCCACCGTTCACTGCTGCTGCCTCCATGGTAATTATTTCCTCTTCCTGCTGCACTGCTGCCTCCACGCTCACTGCCATATCATCTGTCTCCTTACTCCCATCAACCTCAGTTAATATCTCCTCCACTTCTCCTATCTCAGCATACTCGGGGTACTCATAGATCTCATCCACGTCACTCATCGCGACCAAGTTCATCTCATAGAAATCCGTCACTGAAGTAAACATTCGCATACTTCTCCCACTCAGGACCAAACACAGTAACCTTGCCACTGTCATAGAATATCTTGCACCCCAAGTCATCAAGCTGTGACTGACTGACCAAATTCACCTTTAAATCCTCAACCAGCAGCACATTCTCCAGTCTCATCTCTCCATACGGACTCTGCAGCACAACGTCGCCCTCTCCTGTCACTGGCAACTTCCCACTGTTACCTTGCAGTATGAAACGCTCACTCTGACCTGAATGTCATGTGACGCGTGCATCCGCTGTCCATGAACCATGCCGTCTTTTCACGTTCGTCTGTCTGGCGAACATCCTTCGGTAGACGCACCACGTTCGCGAGATGCGCTCCTTCCAAAATCACATCCTCCTTTTCCGCTTCCGCTACATTCGCTTTTCCCGCCACATTCCTCTGCTGCGACGGACCCTTGTAGCTCCTGCTGTTTGGATTGGAGTAACATTCTGCAGCACGATGTCCGTAGCGCCCACAGTAATCACACTTGCCGCCAAAACCTCGTTTCTGCTGCCACTCCGCACCCCCATTTTCGTCTTTCTCGTTCTCCACCGCATTGCCCTTATAGTTTCTGCTTCGCGGATTTTCGTAGCAGTTTATCGCCTTATGACCGCGCTTTCCACACTGGTAGCACGCTCCAAACGCCTTCGTTGAATTCACCAAAGCCAGCCTCTCCTCATCAAATTCCTTAGCTGCTGCTGCCGCTTTCTTCTTTCTCATCTCCTTTACCGTCTCAAGCGATTGCAGAATCTCCTGCAACTTCATCAGGTTCTCCGATGGTTGATACGTGAACATTCCGATGTCGGATTCGTACTCCTTAGGAAGTCCATCGACTATGTAGTCGATCATCGCTTTCTCCGTCTCCGCGGCTCCCATCACACGTAGGTCGTCGTTGTAGCTTTTCGCCCTGTTGATGTAGGTGATTATTCTCTCGCCTTTCTCCATGCTCAGCGTCAGCAGTTGCTTCCTAATCGCCTTCCTGTTGACATCGTTCGTATCCATGTACGTGGACTCCAGGTACTCTCTCGCTCGCTGTACAGAGTTCAGCTCCCCTGCAAACTGGTCCAAATCCACCGCGATTCCATCGGCAACTGAATGACAAAGCTGAAAGAAAGCTTGCTTACTTTGCTTTTTAAACACCGCTATTTTCTCCTTCGTATCCGTCCTGGAAGGCGGAACTCCCTCCATCATCTCCTCGTTGGGGCGATAGTACGGCAAGATGTCCACCTCCTCTGCCCTGCGAATGAACTTCTTTCGCCACACGTTGTAGTTGCTCCCGTTGAAGCGCTGGGCTTCACTGAGCCCGATCGTCGGTTTCGCCACCAAACGGCCACTCGCAAGGGCCTCGAGAAGAGCCTTCAACTGCGGGTCTCCAAGACTCACACTGGAACCCGAACTCGCCTCGTCTCCCATAGCGTAGGCGTGAACGACTCCTCTTCTCCACTAATTACACTTAGCGCACCAAGTGAATTCACGACGATCGACGCGCCCGTTTGCCAAGCTCAGATACCAGTTCTTAGGATCGTAAATGCCTTAATCAACAATAGTCTACTTGCTATTGCTTATCGTGTTCTCAACGATCTCACGAATCCAATGATATGCGCAGCTCTGCTTGAAGTTGTCAATACACACTTCAGCAACTTTCACGGTGAATCTCAATATTGTCAATGTTATGATTTCCAGAATGAGTACAAGCAGTTTTATAGTCAGGCAATACACAAAATGCGGTTCGTAACTTCACTTGTTTCCCAAGTAACCGCGTGCGCCTCGTTTCACCTCAAGTCGCACACGTAACCGAATCGAATTCGCCGAACACTCCTCGAGTCCGATTCTTGAACCTTCTCGAATGCGCCTTGGTCTCGAACCACATTTTCCCCTCGTCGATCTCATTCTCGATGCTTCTCCCTCTCTCTACCTCCTTCTAGCACATTCCTTCTCGATTTCTCTCCCGCTTCTCACGCCGTAGCTTCCAATATCCACTGTAGGCCGATTTCCACCGTCTTAGAGCTAGAATCTCCAACGCGCTTCCATTCCGCCATCATTTCGCATTTCGCCGTAGGTTCCGTGGTTGGGCGAACCAACCCTAACAAGAGGCGGAAAAGGGATGAGGGTAGGAAAGAGGGGACGGGAGAGGGGGAAGAGGGTTGGGAGATTGGGAAATGGGAGGGATGGGAAGGTTGGAACGGAGAGACGGGAAAGGGGGAAGAAGCACGTTTGGAAAAGGGGGGAGCAGAGGGTAGGGAAGGGGAAAAGCTGTGCGTAGGGAAGGGAGGGAGGAAGAGAGCGATGGGCGTGTCGTGAACGACCGGAGGAACGGACGCGACTGGTTGGACGGACGCGACCGGAGGAACGGGACGGGAGGGGGGACGCGACGAGGGCGACGGGAGGAACGGGAACGACGGGAGGGACGAGAGCAACAGGAGGGACGAGAGTGACGGGAGGGACGAGAGTGACGGGTGGAACGGGAGCGAGGGGAACGACAGGGTCGACGAGAGCTACCGGACCGACGAGAGAGATAGTTCTCGCTTTATTTATGTTGCATGCCGCACACGCGCGATCGGATGCGTGGAGCATAGTCCTGGATGATTTATGCAGTCATTCTCAGCTAATGACGATATGGTGAGTGCCTACTACTACGAGTCTAGTTTGGAAGGGGTAACAATATGGATAGTTCTTGTAATGGCCTGGCAATCTGTTATTGTTATGAGTAGTGAATGAGAAGAGTGCACACAATGCAATATTGCGGAAGTGATTACTACAACTGATCAGATAATGAGACCTAGCATTGATATAGCGAAGGCTAGCTAGGCCGAGGCCGCGGGAACGCACATGGTCGGGTGCAAGTTTGGGGTTGGAAAATCTGAAAGTGACGCAAAGGACGTTCGGAGGGCGAGGTCGTCGAACCGAGCCTTGAACTCCGAAAGTTGGAGTAGTACGCGCATAGGGTGCCTCAGTAAGGAATTAGGCAAAATTCCTTACACTACCCCCCCTTTAAGAAAGGTGGGCAATATCAGGCACGCGTCGGTGGGAAAGGCAATCTCGTAATACCGAGTGGCCTTGCAGCGAGTCCGCCGTGTTAATTTATATTGCATATCTTATACCTGCCTACAGCTTACTAGTGTATTAGGTTAGTTATATCAACTGCTGGTGGTGTACCCTTTGCCTTGCCTATATCTTGTACCACTCTTTCTAGTGCAACCCCCTCTTTTGGCCATCTCCTTTCCCTTGCTCGTTTCCTAGCTCCTAAGTCCTAAACCTCACTCGTGGCTCCTAATCTCCTAACCTCCTAAGTCAGATTGTAACATGCTATCAGAGCGGGTTCCACCTTGGGACCCAATCTTAATGGGCCCACCACTAGCCCTCGTTGTGGCGCATCCCGTCGCGCAGCCCGTAGTGCGCATCGTGAGCGCCACGACGATCAGCTCGTCACGCTGCCCTGCTGCAGCCCGACGCCTGTCCAGTCACGCAGCCGCCTGTCACCCGCCTCGTCGACCGTCGCCCGTCCCGTCGCGCTGCCGCCCGTCACGTCCCGCCATCTGCCTCGTCAGCCCGTCGCCCGTCCCGTCGCGCTGCCGCCCGTCGCCAGATCGTCGTGACGGGAGTGACGGCGAACTCGTCGCGCTGCCCCACCGTCGAATGCGCCGAGCTCGCGCCTGACCGTCCTGCCCGTCGCCTGCCTCGTCGACCGTCGCCCCAGCGCCCCGCTCGTCGCCTTTGCCCGTTGCGACAGCGACTGCACCAGCGCACAAGCCAGCGAGTCCGCCAGCGCGTCAGCGAACTCGCCAGCGCCCTCGCCATCGCCACCTCGCTCCCCGCCTCCGCACCTGCTGCCCCACTATTCTACGGTAAGCATTGCGGGGGGGAGGTGGCGGGGCTCGCGCCCATGGCTACGGGGGTGCTTAAGCCCCTGTGAACCTGCACCTTCAGCGCCCACCGCCTCTCTCTCACTGCCGCATCTGCTACTGTGGGGGGGAGGGTGAGGGGGTGGCGGGAACGTGCTTACAGCACCTACCGCCTCCTCCTCTCTTCCCTTGCCGCCCCTGCTGCAGTGGGGGGGAGAGGGAGGGGGAGTGAGGGTGGCGGGTATGATCAGTCAGCCGCCTCTTCAGCCGCCTCTCCTGCGTCTTCCTCCTCCTTTCCTCCTCCTCTCCTCCGCCTCATGTACACCACCGGCTTCCTCCTCCTATCCAACCGTTGGTGTGTAACACCGGCAGCCTACGCCCTCCAAATTAGCCCTCCGCCCTCCGTTCTGGCAGTCAGAGGTGCAACCGATCAGCCACCGCTGTTTCTGTGCGTATCCCAGCTACAGCAACTGCTCTTCAGGCGACCTGCTACCAGACACCACTAGCTATAGCCGTAGGCAGTTACGGGGGTGTGTTAATTTATATTGCATATCTTATACCTGCCTACAGCTTACTAGTGTATTAGGTTAGTTATATCAACTGCTGGTGGTGTACCCTTTGCCTTGCCTATATCTTGTACCACTCTTTCTAGTGCAACCCCCTCTTTTGGCCATCTCCTTTCCCTCGCTCGTTTCCTAGCTCCTAAGTCCTAAACCTCACTCATGGCTCCTAATCTCCTAAGCTCCTAAGTCAGATTGTAACACGCCGACCCACGTGTCATCTTCACTTGTGCAATCAATCCATCATAGGAGGAAATCCACTTGGCGTCCCGTCGGTGTCGCACGCACGCGGTGATTCAAGATCTTCCAGGGCTGGAGCGTCAAGTCTGCCATAGGCCGGACACTTGGCACAACCTTTGGGCGGGCGATATCAGACGACTGCGGAGCCACGTAATGTTGCAGGAGTCTGATGGAAAGCGTCGTGGATTTTCCAGTCATCCGGCAGTAGCAGTTTCGCCGTGACCTGGGTCAGCATCTCGATGATGCGGAATGGTCTCGCATAGCGGGGACGCAACTTGGCTGGTTGGGGCAGTTGAAGATTTTTT